ATACCAAAAAAAGGAATGTCAAATCCCTTGTTAATAATATTTATATTGATTGCATGTGAAAGGGTAAGACTTGGAAGATGTTGATTTCTTTTCAGCTTTTGTAATATAGCTGCTAGAACAATTTAAGTTACACGTGTGGCTGGCACCGTGCCTCTGTTGGGCAGAGCTGTCCTGGAACATGGCGTCCAGCTCCGAGGGCCATCTCCCACTTGCCAGTTCTTGACACACTTTGAGAGACTGTTTGTTCATCCACTGTTCTTTTGTGTATTCCCTCATGCACCCATCCCGTGTCTTTTGAGTCCCCTGTGTGCCAGGCCCCCTCGTAGGCAGGGAGGTGACAAAGGCAAACACTCATAGATGCAGCCCCAGGTCACGCCCGCTGTCTTGGCAGCAGGTCCCCGTGGATGGCTCCAGTCGGTCTTTTGGCACTAGGCCACAGGCCACACCTGCAGCCCTCCCTGCTGCGCAGGGTGGAGGTTGGGCTACCGTGGGGTGCAGTTGGCAGGAAGGGCCAGAGGTGGCCCCTCTGGGAAGAGAAGCAGGGGGCCTGGTGTGCAATGGACCAGCAGCCCCCGGAGGGTCAGGGAAGAGGATGCACTCCTGGCCGTGTCCACACTATGTTTATGGAGCTCTGAGGGGGACGTGCAGGGCTGGCTGCTTCCAGTTCTGCAATCCCCAGTCTGGGGCGCATTGGAAGGCCTAGGCGTCCCTTTTCAAGAGCCCAGGGGCTGTCAGTTGTTACTGGCCCAAGGCTCCCCCCCAGGGCATGCTCCAGTCCGGTGTGGGGCAGGAGCGGGCACCCAGCCTCCGAGGTGGCATGGGGGCTCAGGCACAGTTCCCTGCATAGCAAGGGGCATGACCCAAAGGCCAGGATCGGAAGGAGCCATGGTTTTCACTGACAATTGAAAGACAAATATTTTCCTTGAATTTTTCACATCTTATTTTTAAAAATAATATGAGTTTGTAGCCTTTTCCAGTTTGAAAGGAAGATTCACTGCGCGTGTCTGTTTTTTAGAACAGAGACAGTCCTGTGTACGCTGGGCCTGCACGCCGTGCGCTCTGCCAGCACCAGCTTGGTGTGAGTTGGTTTATCTCTCCTTCAGCCACTGGCGCCCGCCTTGGCACCTGCTGGTTGGGGAGAGCGCTGGATAACACAGCGACACCTCATTAACAAATTGCCTTCATACAAAGTCAGCCTTTTTGGAAAACAAACAATAAACAAATGCCAGCCATCATCCTGTTTGCAGTTTGTGGCAGAAGTACCTTGGCATGATCGTCCTGCCCGTTCGTCCTTGCCTTGGGGAGAGGGAACGAGCCACTGTCCAAGAGTGTCTGGGAGGCTCTGTCCCCCCCTCCCCTGCTCCATGCGCCTGTGCCGCCCAGGCACACACAGGGCACTCACACCTCCCACACCCTTCCTGTGCCACCCACAGGTGGCTCATTCTTTAGGATTAAAATGTAGACTTCACAGCTGGCCCCTGCTCGCACAGGCACCCTTCTGCCATTGTTCTTTCCCCTTTTCATCCTCTTTTTCCCCTAATTTCCCTTCCAGTGTTGTATTTTGTCCTCTGTCTCTCCGAAAAGTGCAGTGGGTGAAACAAGGTAGTGTGCTGGTTCCCTACTGCTACCGTAACAAATGACCACGGACTTGGAGGCTTAAAACAATGGAAATGTATCCCCTGACAGTGCCTCGCATCAGGAGTCCACAGTGGGGTTTGCTGGGCTGAAGTCAAGGTATCAGCTGGAGAAGCTCCAGGGGAGAACGTTCCTTGTGGTTCCCAGCGTCATCCCAGCCTCTGCTTCTGTTCTCGAATCTCCTCCTCTCACTCTGACCCCGGTGCCTCCCTCTAAGGACCGCTGCGTCACCGCGGCCCACCTGGATAATCCGGGATGATCCCCCAACTCCCGATCCCTAACATAATCCCATCTGCAAAGGCCCTTTCACTGTGTAACCTAATGTGGTCACAGGTTCCAGGGATTAGGATGTGGACATCTTTGGTGGGGGGTAGGGTGGGGACCGTTATTGTGCCCACCACAGGTAGCCTCATTTACTTAAGAAGAGATTGGGAAAGAGTTTGATTGGTTTTTGTCCCTGAACTTGGTGTAAAAATATAGCAAATCATCCAGTGGAGGAACAAAAACTATTGACTTCTCACAAAGAAATAGTTATCATCGCGTTTAGGATCCCTTAGAAAAACGTATAATTAAAAGGGAGGTTGGGACGCTTCTTGACCATCTATCTTTCGGGGTTACGATATGAAACAACTTGGGCTGGTTATGTTTTGGCAAAGGGCTTTTATGGTACAGGCCTGACCAGCGGGTCACTCTGTGACGCAGGAAACATTTGTTACTGTGCTGTCCCAAGTAATAGCCACCAGCCTCATGTAGCTACTAAGTGTTTGAAATGCCGCTAGTGTAACCAGATGTTTCAACTGTAGTTAAATTCAATTAAGTTACATTTCAATATAAACAGCCACATGCACTAGTGGCCATGGTATTGGATAGCATAGGCTAGAACAAAATTTCCTCACCTCAGGTCTCTGGAGAAGGCCGCAGGGAAGCCCCGAAGAAACAGTTTGCAGAGTTTTATCCCTGCGGGGAAGAAGGGATAGCTTTCCTCAGATTCCTAGGTGTTTTGTGACCCCAAAAAGTTGAGGTTCAGGTTCAAATCACAAAGAGCACTGGCTCGTACACAGTGCCCAGAGCTGTTCTCCCTAAGGCTCTGCAGGGGGCTTGAGTGAGTTGAGTGGGCTGGTTTGGGGGAGCTTAGGGTGGTGGAGGGGCCTTTGATTTAGGTGTTTGGCTAAAGAAACAAGCCGGGCGCGGTGGCTCACGCCTGTAATCCTAGCACTCTGGTAGGCTGAGGCGGGCGGATTGCTCGAGGTCAGGAGTTCGAAACCAGCCTGAGCAAGAGCAAGACCCCGTTTCTACTATAAATAGAAAGAAATTAATTGGCCAACTAATATATATATAAAATTAGCCGGGCATGGTGGCGCATGCCTGTAGTCCCAGCTACTCGGGAGGCTGAGGCAGGAGGATTGCTTGAGCCCAGGAGTTTGAGGTTGCTGTGAGCTAGGCTGACGCTACGGCACTCACTCTAGCCTGGGCAACAAGCGAGACTCTGTCTCAAAAAAAAAGAAACACAAAACGCTACCTGTCAGTCTGTTGTCAAGAGAGCCATGTGCACAGGCGGCTGGCCACGGGGCTGAGCGGGCTGGGCCAAGCTACTTGTAGACCTGCAGCGTCCCAGGGAAGGGAGAGGCCGAGGGGTCCTTCCCCCACCCCTTCTGTGGTCCTACAGTTCTCTCTCCACCCACTTTCATGTGATGCGCGACAGTCCAGGTGCCAGAGAACCCTGCCTTTTATGGTCCCCAGGAGTAAAAGTCATTAGTATTGTTGAGCACTCACTATGTGCCAGGGACTGTGGAACCCACCTTAACACATTCACTGCCACATTAGGAAAAAAGTTTTTTTTCCTTGGGGCAGCCGTGGTTTATTATGAAAACAGAATAAAAGTTTTGAAAACAAAATGATCCTTTCTAATTTAATGGAAAATTGGTTATTTGTTATTGTTTTCCGTGTGTGAGTTATATGCAACTTGAAAAATAGTTCAAGTGGCTCCCAAGGCAAAGAGATATTCGAGTTACGTGTGCTTCACAAGGCCCCAGGCTCAAAACTAGCATGAGTTAAATACAACTCACATGGCAGTTAATGTGTTAACCACACTTTTATTTCTTCTCCTACCAGGAAGACATGATTATCCTTAAGCACAGTAGAGATAAGGTCAGAGTCTCAGGAGGGAGGTGACTTCCTGTGTCCCCACAGTTAGGGAGTGGCTGAGCCAGAATTTGGAATCAGGGCCGTCCTGCTGTGCTGGCTGCCTCCTGTATACTGAACTTTCACTGGGCCCCTACTCCTCTGTATTCCGACTGAGGAGCTCTGGAGAGAAATTCAGGTGGTCATTTGCCTGGTAGCATTCGGTCGGGCATTTGATGGCAGCTGTTCTTGGGGATTCCAGGGGGGACACTCAGACAGGCGTGCTGAGGACAGAGCACTACGGCCCTATCCTGTTTGAACCTGCGCGAGTCCTGCCTATCTGCCGAGCTCTTGTGCCACATCCTCTGTGCAACTGCTCCTTGTCTCCTTCCTCTTACGTTCTCCTATAGTGTTGAGTTTATTTCTTTGGAATAACGCCTTTGCTTTACTCCCGTGTTATGGTTTGACGGATACACGTCCGTCTATACCGATACGAGTCAGTTTCATTTGGATGTGTGCATCAGGGTTGGCCTGGGACTTAAGCAATTTTTATACGTGGCCAGGCCTTGTCCCAGACCTATTAAATCTGACCTGGCACATGGACAATGCTTAGAAAAATAGCTAATAGCCTAAACTCTCGGTAAAGGCAAAGTTGCTGTATTTGTGTCTTTTTGAAGTATTTGAAGCACTTTCTCCATTTCTTCATTTTAAATCAAATACTTTCAAGGGGATCACATACACATACCTACAGGACGTCAGAGCGTTATGAAATGGGTACTGATGGCTTGGGATGGAATTTCCAGTGACTTTATCAGATACGGATTCAAAACAGACCATATCTCCATTAATAGTTCACAAAAATAGCAGCTAAAACAGCACAGTGACCCAAATCCATTTCGTATAAAAACAACAACAAAACCTACATTGTAACATATTTTATTCTAAGCATATCATCTCACTTAACTGGCATCAGCAAAAGCTCAGTCCATAGCACATTCAAAGTGAGGTCTATATAACCAGGACTTACTAGAAATAAAGCCTAGTTGTGTTCTGAGGCAAGTTGGTTTGAATCCTGGCACGCTGGTTGGCGTTGTTGATGTTTTTAGGGATGGCGGGACAGGAGAGGTACCGGGGTTGCTGTGTGTAATGATCATCAGCGAAGCTGCCTTTAGGAAGCCTTAACTGATGTTTCCCTTCTCTTTCCTTCTCAAACGGCTGTTTCCTGACCCACCCTCTTGCTCCAGGATTTGCGCAAGCAGGTAGCGCCGCTGCTGAAGAGCTTCCAAGGGGAGGTAAGCATTTATACTTACTTTATATCCCAAGCCACCCTTGGTAGTTAATCAGTCGTTCTTTTTATTCACATCCAGTAAATGCCGTGGGCAGAAGGCACTCACCTGGGTGGGGGCTTCACGGCTGCTCCGACCCAGCGCCGCGCAGACTTTGTTCTCTGCGATGTGAATATCCCCCTGGGTCCCCAGTTAAAGCCTTCCTGGAAAGGGAGGCCATGTTTGCAGTATAGAAAGTGTGGTAGATTCAGGAGAGAAGGCCCCCCCCCCCCGTGTGATTGCACTTCCCACGGTGAACTGAGGTTGTTCAGGCCACAGCCCAGGGGGGCCCAAGAACACCCTCAAGGGAGCCACCTTGTTCCCTGGGCTGGCCTGGGGCTGCCACTACTCTGAGGCGTCTGGTGAGGGAAGGACTGAGCCAGCAGCTGCTTTGACAGAGGCTGCTGTGGGGGAGGAATGCCACTTGATTCAAGGCTTGAAACACAGAGTGTCAGGCAGAAGCTACAAAGAGCTCGTTTGGGCTCAGTATAAGGAAGTGGTTTCTAACGGATCCTTCCAGAGAAGGATGGAGCCATCTGGCAGTCGGCACGTGGGCGACAAGTCGCCCGAGATGTCCATCCGTGCTATCTGTTAGTGGGAACAGCACCCACAGTGGGTACTGGGGATCGAGGTGGATGACACTCCTTGCCAACTGTTTGTGTAGAGATTCAGTGAAGTTTAGAAAGCCACAAATTGTGTCATTGTTGTGGAATTATTCACTGTCACCGCTTTAGCTTCTCCGGTTGGAAAAATGGAAGTAGGAATAATACCAGGCTGATGAGAGGGAACAAGAGGTTTCCAAAGCCCCTGAAAGTGTGCATGTTGGTACGGTCTCAGGAATTTTATTTTCTTGCAACTACTCAAGTCACATGGGGAAGGGGCAGAATTAGGGGAAGTGAGACACGGTGGGTTCCGCCTGGGACACAGGTGATGTAAGGTGGTGCCTTAGGTGGACACAGGTCTAGGAGGACTGGATTCCCGGGCCCAGAGCTGCAGAGGAAGCAGTGTGGCTGCCGTCAGCAAATTCTTCCGTGGGCACGTGTTAGCAGAGGGTGAGGGAGAGAAGGAGGTAAGTTGGGAAGACTGTAGCAAAGGCCAGAGAGGAGATTCCAGGACAACCAAGGGACCCATGTGTTAAGAAGGACACAGCAGTGGCTGCGGGTGACTGCTGAGTATTTTAGGATGTAGAACAGTGCTTTTCTTTCTCTTTATAATGTCCTGCTCACCAGGCCCCCGTGTACCTATCGTGGAAAGGCCCAGAAGGCTGCCCTCCGCCCTGCGTCTCCACACCCTCACATTACCAGTGAAACTGTTACCTTACACCTGCCTGCGTTTGATCTTACCTGTTCTGTCACCTGTTAGCAACTTTTGAGAAACCCACGGGCTTAGTATTTCTCTAGCTGAAAGGGTTCAATGCTCTTCTTGTGTGTTGGCTTGTGTTTTTTTTTTTTTTTCTTTTTGGAAAATTTCAAAGCAACATAAAAGTAGAAAGACTAGTACAATGAGCACCTATACACTCTTTACCCAGATTCACACTTTGCCCCAAATCCCCCACCCCTTTGGCTAAATATTTAAAAGCAAGTCACAGACAGCAGGCCCTGTACCCTTAAACACATGTGTGGCTCTTAAAATTAAGGAGGCATTTATATTCTCTGGCATTACCTCAGTAACCACAAATGTCACACCTAGGAAAATTAACAGTAATTCTAGGTTATCTAATATTCGGTCCAAAATCAGATTTTCCCAGTTATCCTCAAAATGTGTTTTTTTAACTGCCCTCTCCCCAAGTAGGGTCCAATCTGGTTTCCACATTGCATTTGGAAATGTTAACTTACATCTATTTTAATGTAGGACATCTTCTTCATCTCCCTCATCTCTGTTTTTGTTTTCCATTACATTGATTTTTTTTGGAAGGACCTAAGCCAGTTATCTTATAGATTAGCTCACGTTCTCAGCAGGGTAACGACTTTGCTTCTGGGTGTGTTACACCTAAGAGGCATCTAGGCTTCCATTTGCCTATTTTTAAAGGCTATTTGAAAGGTGAATATTTTTTTAGCACCGTTAATTAATATTTATCAAGCCTCTGCTAATTGCTATATTTTTTAAATAAATTGTATTGTGTATATTTAAGGTATACAACATAATGTTATGGGATACATACAGGTAGTAAAGTGGTTATTAGAGTGAAGCAAATTAACATATCCATCATCTCACGTAGTCACCCTTATCATATGTGTGTGGCAAAAGCTGCAGAAATCCCTAATACAGTGCAATTTTATTTACTGTAGTCTTCTTGCTGCACATTAGATGTCTAGACGTGTTCATCTACATGTCCACAACTTCAGATCCTCTGACATACATCTCCATTTCCTCCTCCCTCCCCAAATGCTGTATTTATGTCAAATAATTTGTGCAGTCTGGTAACCTGACTTCAGTATGAGGGGTGAGATGCCACGTGCTTCTGAAGGATGAGCTTACGTGGCAGAGCGTGACTGTGAGGGCACCACGCGTGCAGGATTGGTTTTCCTACAAGCAAGGCCCGAGGGCAGCGTGTCCAGGCTCACTCGGGGCAGGGTCTGTTCTGCTCTCTTGTTTTTAGAGCTGCACCTCTAATCGGAGGCACCTTATCCCTCATCAGTATCTGCCAAATGTGATTTAATTTATTGGATATATATATATTCTTTTAGCTTATGCCAAGGTACATCAGCTCCTTCCACAGAAACGTATAGTGTTAGTGAAAAAATCTTTGCACCAGAATTTATATAGATTACTTCCTTCTTTGAGTCCCCCTAAAAGAAAAAAACAACAAAAGATGTTTTTCAGACAGCAAGAAATTCACATAGGACTTTAGGGTTCCTGCAAGAACATATACTTGTAGCGTGTTATAATGTTATAGAAAAACATTAACCTGGGCCGGATATCTCTTAATGCCTTCAGTGGTCTCACATGGTTCTCAGTACAAAGTCCAGACCTCCTCCCTCCTGGGATCTGCAAGACCCAGTGTGATCCTGTAACTGCTGACCTTTCTAGACTCCTCTCACCCATCTCCAATCACTCGATACACCAGCCCTTTGGAATTTCTGCCAGGCCTCAGAACGTTCTGAGCCTCCTTCCCTGCCTGCAGGCCTCTGCGCTAGCTGGCCTGCTCCCTGAAACACTCCTCCCCCCCTCCACTTCCCCAGGCTCCCGGCAGCTTAGGTATCTTTCTCAAGAAAGGTCTCCCCTAAGTGATAGGCTAGGTTCCCTCTATCGTGTGCTCCCATTGCACCCTGCACTACTTGTGTTTGTCACAGTGTTTGTCACAGTGTCTGAGAGCCACTCCGTTACTCTGTCTGCATTCCCTGTCGGCCATAAGATGTGTGAAGCCAGCCACTGTGTCTTGTTCAGCGCTGCCCTCCCAGCTTCTGGTGCAGCTCCTGGGACTGAAAAATATTTGGGTACTCAAAAATGGTTATTAAATAAGTGATTGAACAGCGAAGTTCCTCTCGAGGTGGTTTTAAAAATATTTTATCTGTCTTTTCATTATGATGTGTTGCTGTTAATAAGGTTGAAGACATCCCATAAGATATGCTTGGGAATACCTTTAGAAGAAGCTAGGAAATCACTGTATTAGTTGTCTTTGATTAAGAAGTTTGAAATATTGTCATCATAACAGTTATTTATAGTTATTGCAGCAAAGTCATGAAATTTAACTCACACTGAAATTATTTATCACTGATTGATTGATTGATTGGTCTCTAATTTTGTGTTTCACAAGCCAACCAGCTGATACAGGGGGAAGAGGTACCCTAAATGTTCAATCCAACTTAAAACTTATTCTAGTCCAATAATTTGAAAAATCCCTTCAGTAAAATAATACTCACACCCTCTAGGAAAATGCTAAGTCCTTCAAATTCTCTCTTCCCCCCATCTCCCGCTTCTCTCCCTAAGAAGGGTCCTGGTATACAAGGTGGAAGGGGTGAGGGGCTGGCTCAGACAGCCTCTTCGTAGTTGGGGACCAAGTATTCTCAGGGAGGAAAATCCTCTTAAGAAATAACAAAAGTTTTAAAGAGGAAATAAAAGACTGAAAAATCTATGTGCTAAGCATCAACTTTTAAAAAGAACAACATCTCAAAATATGTCAAAGAAATAGTTTTAAAAAATAAAATACAACAGAATAAGTTCACATAGGAAGAAAGACATAATAAATATACTTAATAATAGTAATAAATGTAAGAACAAAAATGAATGAAAAAGAAAACAAAGACCTGAGAAAGAAACATCCCAAAAGTTGGTTCTTTGAAAAGATTACCACAGTGGACAAACCACCTTACTAATCAGGAAAAAAAACCTAGTAGGAATAAAAACAGGGACAGCACTGAAGCTGCGGCAGAGATTTAAAAGATAATAAGTGAATACGATAAGCAATTTTATGCCAATACATTTTTAAATGGACAAATTTCTAGAATACTGTAACTACCGAAGCTGATTAAAGAAGAAGTAGAAAACTTGAATAATCTTGTAACTACTACAGAAATATTTCCTCAAGGTCTAGACAGTTTTCTGGGAGAGTTCTATCAATCAGTCATAAAACAGATAGCTCTAATATATAACACACTCCTTCAGAAAATAGAAGGAACACTTCTGAATTTATTTTCTAAGTCTGGTATACCTTGATACCCAAACCAGACCAGAACAGTACAAGACACAAAAATTAAAAGTCAGTCTTATTTATGAATCGATACGCAGAAGTTGTTAAAAAGGTGTTAGTAAATTGAATCTGTCAAGGTTGGTGTATCCCAAGAATGCTGGTTGGCTTAAAATTAGAAAAATGTATTAATGTAAATCCATGTCATTAACAGATTAAAGAAGAAAAGAAATCATTTCAATAGTTATAAGGAAAGAATTTTCTAAAATTCAAATCCTTTCATGATAAAAATTACCAGCAAACTAGGAATAGAGAGAAACTTCTTGAACCTGGTTAAAAG